TTTGCAAACCTAGAGGGACAGCAGTGGTGTCTATGGGCCAGGATACCACTGAGCGGGCCTGTGTTTCTGTATTTAAGGCATCATGCCAATGAGGAAATAATGTTCATACTATTTGAGGGTGGTATTTCTGGAGGATTTCTCTTGTTATCCTCCAAAAGGCCAAGTTCACTGCCTTGAACATATGTAGTAAGACACTGCTAAATAAATAAATGAATAGCAATTCTTCGCCTTGGGGTAAAAGTAGACTCAGGTGTTTATTTTAGAGTACAGTGGGGTCAGAGAGTCCAGAAGATTTAGAGGCATGTGAATCTGAATCATTTCCCAATGAGATTGTATCCATAGGTTAAGTGAAGCAAGAAGGGAAGGGGTTCACCAATAATCTCTTTAATGGACGAAGGAGGCTTTTACTTGTTGTATAGGGTTTTTAAAAAGTAGTTTTTCTTAAATGTACAAAGTTAATATTCATGAGATCTGTTAGAACCCTCCTGTGTCAAGCATGGCTAACTAAATATTGAGCACCCTTCCTCTGAGGTATATTTGTGGGGGCCAGGTCAGAGACGTAGGCTTGTAAGAGCCAGCCCACACCATGCTTTCTTTGGTGTAGTGTAGTGGGTTATTTGTCTGATTCTGGAAATCAGAAAGGACATGGGGCAAGATCCCACTTGATATTCCAACTTAATGAAGTAAAAGGAAAGGTTCCAAGTGTGGCAATGCTCTCTTAGTGGAACCCCCAAGATTCCTCTAATTACATAATTTTCAGAGTCCCATCTAGCTAACCCTCTGGACCATTACCATACTACTAATTTGGATCAAGGCCACCCCATGGGAGCCCTCTATTCTCATATATTACTATCCGAAGTTGGAGTCTTTAAGCCTCACGTTGACGTGTATATAAAAAGTCCTGATTTCTAATAGGAGAACTCAGAGAAATGTTCCAGGCAACATCTTTCATGAATAAACTGTACCCGTTGCCTTGGATAGCTCATTTTATTTGGTGTTAGCAATCCAGCAGTAAAATTTTATGGTATACTGAGTCACTGGGGAAAATGGAACACTGAGATGTAACTAGAATGAATTTATACCTCTGAAATCCCTCCAGATTAGGACTGGAGTAGTCCACAGCTCAAGTGCATCAATGGTACTAAATGCCATTACCAGCATTACTCATCAGTCTGTCGTTACCTCAGTGAGCTCCCTTGAAACATGCTGGTGCACCCTCTAGCCAGGCTGTAGCCACTGGGTTTTTACTAAGCAATTATCAAAATACTTTCAAGTGATACAAATAACTACAGATATTCTATATTATATAGATTATATGTATTTTTTAAAAAGAGCGGTTGATTTTATTCTACATAATCAACATCTGTTCTTTAGACAGATTTTCTGATTCCTTTTTATTTATTTATTTAAAAAAATTTTTAATGTTTATTTATTTTTGAGGGGCGGGGGGAAAGAGAGAGAGAATGTGAGCGGGAAAGGGGCAGATAGAGAGACAGAATTTGAAGCAGGCTCCAGGCTCTGAACTGCCAGCACAGAACCTGATGCGGGGCTCGAACTCACAAACTGGGAGATCATGACCTGAGCTGAAGTCAGGCACTTAACCAACTGAGCTACCCAGGCGCCCCTCTGATTCCTTTTTATAAAGGGTGTTTCTAAACCGTGATTTAGTCTTCTGAATGGGTAGGAAACAGGAGTACCTTGAGCAAAGTCACTGCTATAGGTACTCAAAGCAATTATGTTCCTTATAATTAATAAATTTACAAATTCACACTGTTTTTAGCTCAAAATCTTGTAAATTGGGTTAATACTGGTTTTCATTCAGCAACTATTTATTGAGTATCTGCTATGTGGCAGGCATCAGACTAGCGACTGGGGATGGCAGTATGAAAAAGGCAGACAAAGTCCTTTAATTACAGTCTGATGATTATCATGGGCCTGATTAACCCTGACTCAGCTGATATGATCTAATTCCTGAGCCTGTTAAACTGTAGGGTATATCGTGGGTTGAAGAGTCACTCAGTGAAGTCTTATCTGAAATAGCCAGGCAGTTCTTCCCTTAATTATAACTCTTGGATCTGAGAAAAGAGAAGGGAAGGAGGGAGGGAGGGAGAGAGAAAAGACAGAAGAATTATCAGTGGACGTACTGATGCCACTCAAAGCCCTGGAGAAGTGGCTGAGGCTGAAGGTGGACCCACAGCACCAAAGCTGCTAAGTCACAGTCATTACCCATTCCTCTCAAATCCCCCCAAAGCTAAAATAATCCCTAAAGAGGGAAGAAGAAAGAAGGCGACTACATGAAAAGTTCTCTATAATGGATTTATAGAGCCAGTTTTGGGAAGCATGTCTAGTAAATTCTTCATTGTACGAGTCCCTCACAATTATTTTATTACCCATTAGGTAACGCATTTTGATGGGGAAGAAATTAAACTATACCAGCCAGAACCCAGGAAGAAAAAGTTACAACTTAGCTCTGTGCTAAATACCTTTTTGTGTGTCACTCAGTAATGAGACAGACTAAAACAGAAGCACTAGTTCTAAAGATTTATGTGTCTACATGTTAAAAATGTTGACTTATATAAAGCTATTGAGTTCAAATGTGAGCCTCAGTGCTGAGCCCTGGGTGGGTCCAGCTTAAACCTGTGACGTAAACAGAGGATATTTATACCTATATCCACAGAGCAGAATGTCTTACCTATATCATGGCGGAGAAAGATGAGGAAAAAACAATTTGTACCAATTTGTGCTATGGACGGTCTTACAAGAGTATGAAGACAAGGTCATGAACTCAGGACCATGCTCATGGAGAATTTCCAAGACATGCACACAAGTGGTTCATTAGGGGCAAGCTTCAGTGGTCTGGGTCTAGCCTGTTACTTTGCCAGCTTCAAGGGGATGATGATCTCACACAGAATTAAGGGTCACTGTGTTATTTAATCCTCTGCCTGCTCAAAGTCAGCTTTAAAGTGACCTGAGAAATAACATACCAGCAGTGGCAATTTCCAGTCCTTGGATTACATGGTAATCCATAATATTTTTAAAAAATGAAATGTCTATTGGAAGCTCTACTGCTACCATTAAAATAGCTACTCATACTGTCTGCCGTCTGCCGAAAGACAGTTCTCAGGTAAGGTGTAGGGGGCTCCACTCTGAGCGGGCACATTCCCAGAGGGATCAGGTGATGCTAGTCTGGGCAGATGGCTGGAGTAAGTTCCCAGCGAGTGGTTTTAGCTGCATGCGCATCTTTGGGGTGTAGAGGAGAGGAGAGAAGAGAAGGAGGGGAACCCTGGCTGTCAGCAGGGACAGCGGAGGTGATGCCCTGGATCACCGGGAAGGAAAGGAGGCTGTCGGGGACACAGTGGGAGAAAGGGGAACGAAGCTCGCCCATCCCCCTACTTGCGGTCAGCGTTACCAGCGTCTGGACTCTGTGGCTTCCGAGCAAAGTGGAGGATTGTACTTCCATGCCCCCGTGAAGTTAAATGTGGTCATGTGACATGCTTTGGCCAATGAAATGGCGTGGAAGTGAAGCATTTGTGTCACTTCCTGGGAGAAACATTTAATGACTGGGCTTGACTTCCCACGCGGTCTTCTCCTGCTCTGCCCATATGAATGTACATACTGAGGAAGTGCCGCAAGATCAAAGCAATAAACTATGTGTGAATGAGGAAAACAACAAATCCAAACAAAGCAAAAACAAAACGAAATAAACTTTTATTACAGTAAAGCCACTGAGATTTCTGGGTTGATCACCTATCTTAATCCCATAATCTATCTGCTTCCCTTCTTTCGGTCTCTCCCTTGCTCCTTTCTTGCCTCCTCCTCCCATTTGATCTTTTCCTTCCTTTCTTCTCCTCTTCACTCTATTATTTCATTGCCCTCCTAACTGAAAATAATAAGTATAATGTATATTCCTATTCCTTTTTCTAAATATTTATTTATTTTGGGGGGGTAAGTGGAATAGGGGCATTGAGAGAGGGGGACAGAGGATCCAAAGCGGTCTCCACGCTGACAGCAGTGAGCCTGATGCAGGGCTTGAACTCATGAGCTCTGAGATCATGACCTGAGCCTAAGTCGGATGCTTAGCTGACTGAGCCATCCGGGTGCCCCTGTATATTCCTATTCTTAATCTAAAACATGGAACACTTTGTTTTTTGAAAAAGAAACAAGCAATTTTTTTGAATTAAGCATTCATAGTTCTCTCTTTTAAAACTAAAGCCCTGAGGTAAATAAAAAGTCAGCTTTAGCTTGTATTAAAAAAAGGTATGCTTTGAAAAGCTTACTATGTTGTATAAACATATGGTGTTACTATTGTGGATAGGCCCTCAGTTGATTTTCTTGTGTGGGTTAAGGGCTGTCCGGAAAAATAAAAACAAACATAAACCTTCCCTAAACACCATGCAACAGCCATGCAGCTCAAAACCCAGAGCTCCCCCTGGAGCAGACTCTGAGCAGGAAACCACTTAGGGCACAACCAGTCACTTAGCTTTCACTGGTAACTTTGTTAAGAAGGCTCCTGGGGCCGGAGCATCCACAAGCCTGTTCAAGACTAAAGGACATTTGAAGTTATCAGATAAACCACACATTTTCATGCAGTCATGACGTAGTATTTAGACCTGAGGTCACTCCCACAACCCTGAACGTTGTTTCAAGCAATTAAAGTCGCTCTAGACTTGAAGCAGCAGAGAATGCAAAAGCAGGGGAATGCAATCATAGCCTGGCTAATCATGCATATTTAAATAAACACAACAGATGTGCACTTAAAAACAATTCAACAAGCTCTGGTTTCAAGTAAGAACATGCTCTACTAACGAGGTAAACATGACGTGGACTTTCAGGCCATTTCACACGACATGGAGTGAACGGCTGAGGGTTTTACACATAACCGATTCTGCAGAGATGAACTTGGGCAGGAAGGAGGAAGAAAGAATGTAACAGTTCTATGAGGAAAAGAAGAACATGCAAAAGGAGCAAGAATCAGGTGGAGAATTCCCAGGTTGACTTACTGCCTGCTTTTGCTCTTCCTCCTAGAGGTGTTGATGAAAAAAAGGCAGAGGGAAAAAGGAGAGAGGTTAATGCCCATCACCACAAACATTTGGAAGGAATGACAGAAGAATCAGGCAAACCAGGCCAGGCATACGGGTTCAGAGACCAAGGGCCCAGACCGCCATCAGGGCACCATCAGCTGGACAGAGCGGATGGCAGGCCTCCGCCCCACCGGGTTCATTCTGTGTTTTCTCTACACCTGGGAAACCATCTAATCCAACCTCCTCATTTACAGACAGAAAAGGCCCAGAGAGCCTGACTTGCCCGAGCTCATATAGCTGTTGAGGGTAAACTGAAAGAATTAGCTCAACTAGGACCCATAAGCCCAATAATGATTCAATTTCCCCATTCCTAATATTCACCTGTGTTAGCCACCTTTCTATAGGTCAACAGTTCACAAAGCAGCAGCACCTGGAAATCTGTCAGAGATGCAAAGTTTGGGCACCGGCCAAGACCACCTGAATCCAAACTCTTGGGGTGGGTGGGGCACAGCAACGTGTTTCCAAGCCTTTCAGCTGATTTGGACGCCTGCTAGTTTGAAAACCACTGCCCTAAAATCTTCCTCCAAACTAGCAATTTCGCCTGACCACAGGGTCTCTTATTTAGTCCCCTCCTCTCCACTTGTTTTGGGGCTGTTTGTGGCTTTTCCCAAGGATGCACATGCATCCCATCCCCACTCCTCCAATAAACTGGAAACTGCCTCAGGGCCCTGAGAGGCTTTTCAAAAAGAACTCTCGACCTCAGTTTTTCACTAACTCAGCACAGCTTCCTTTAGTACTTCTTATGCATAAAGCCCTGGAAGCATGAAGACACGATGTGGTCCTTGTCATTTAGAGCCTCGCAGTGACGGTGGGCAGAGTGGGTACTTGCCGACTCTCAGCTATCGGAATGCACCACCAGGCGCCGCGGGAAGAAGGACAACAAAGCCGAGAGAAACACTTCTGAGTCTCTCTCCCCGTAGTCCTTTGCTCTTCAGCTACTCTGTTTTTTTTAATGGGCCTTTTTGCTTCTTCTTTCTGTGCCTCATCATGGGGTAACTGTGGACAGGGAGTCTCTGCTCTTTGCCCCAAGTGCGCAAATCTAAAAGCTGTTGCAATGGTTGTATTTAAATCGGATCCATCCGTGCAGGCGTCTTTACTGAACATGTGTGTGGGAAGCCTCAGGGATGGATGAGTGCTTCTGCTTTCACAGGGTCTGCAGATCCAGGGCTAACGGGGAGAAAAGTTTCAGAAAATCCAACCAATTACAAAAAGGAGAGAGGAAGTTAAAAATTTGGAAAAAAATACTTTTATTCCTCTAAGGGAGAGACCTGGACTAGAAATTAAATAGGCACCAAGAACTCTCTTAAGGAGATTCCAACTCAGCACAAGAAGATGGTCTTTATAATAAGAGCCAGTTGCTGGACGCCTGACCAAACCTGTCCTCACAGGGGCCCAGGCAGAGGGCCCTGGGCACTAGCTCGGTTAGCCTTAAGAAGTTAGCACCTCAGGGTGGCTGGCTCAGTCGGTAAAGCATGCAACTCTGGATCTTGAGGTTGTGAGTTTGAGCCTCACTGTGGGTGCAGGAAGTACTTTAAAAAAATTAAAAAAGAGAAGAAAAAGAAGATAGCATCTTTCAGTTTTTGCATCTGGCATGTGTGGCTCTGGTTAGAAGGGGTTAGAATTCCACAGCTGGGAAGAGCTTGCCCTTCCCAGCCATGCTTTCCTGTAAGGCAGAATCCTTTTCTTCCATTCACTCAGCAGGGCAAACAGCCATAGGTAGAGTTATTCAACCATTTAAGATGTGTTTTTACTGCTGGCACTAGGTGTTGAAATGGACACTGAAATGGGGGAGGGAAGAGGCCATCCTGACAGGCTGAAATTGCAGCTGAGGTCAGAAGACAAGGACAAAAGTTCTCAGAACGGCTTCTAAGACACCTCCCTAGTTTCAGTCTTCTCCAGGTTTGGTAGTGGAGATAGCATTGCTTTGGCTCAACAGAACAGGGAAATTTCAGGAAGAAAGGTTTCCCGTTTGTACATGTGGTAACTCTGCTATGGCTAGCTTGCCAAAGGCATGACATCATGATAATTTGCAGCAGACACTAGTCCAGTTAGGATGGGAATGGTGGACAGGGCAGTCTTTTCAGGAGTGAGGGGCCTCCGCTGTGCACCGGAGGTAGAAGAGGGTGGGCTTTGACAAAGTGTCACTTAGGATGGTGTTTTATAATTTAAATTCATAGAAGTTACTCAGATAAAGCCTTGAAAGCTCTGTCAACACAGTAAATAGGTCAGATATAAGGGCTTAGAACCTTTTTGTTATCAGTCAGTTGTGTCAGTAAACACTGATGACAACTGGCATAGGAACAAAGTTGGTTTAAAGGGAATAACACTACTTTAACTGCAAATCCAAAAGTGCTTATGTCACCTAAAAACATGTGAGACTTTTCCAGACGGGGGATGTCTGGCTAGGTGGCCCAGGTAAGACCACAACCACAACCACTGCAGTTATCTCCATGAAAATTTATATTCTAAACCTCATTTGCAAATGAGGTTGAAATCCAAAACTGCAGAGTTCACCTGTGACTGTTTCAAAAGCAATATTAGAAAAATGAAAAATGAGGCAGAAAAACATTGGGAACATGATTTAGAAAGTAAAACACCAACATACAACCACTTTCAGATTAAATAAGTTTGGGACAGAGGTTATCTACACACACTAATCAAGGGGGAAAATGTAAGGAAAAGATACATTCTGACCATGGGTACCTGGGTGTCAGTCTACATTACATCATCAAAAAAACCAAAAATGCAATTAAGAAAGTCCCTGATATCCTTTGTGACAAGGAGTGAGTGAGTCTTACCACCAAATACCTAAATGCGACAGGGACCAATATTTTCTTGTTAGATAAATGTATGATTATTTTTACCCTGCCTTATTACAAAAAAAAAAGGATTTAAAATTATTGTTGAATGAATTAATAAACAATAGTGACACTTCATATATATCCTTCTTTAAATTATCGTCTTTCAGATAAATAGACAATGTACATAATATTTCACTGAAGCAGTAGAAAGAACTCCCTGTGAAATGGAAATTTACTGTGTGGTGTATTTTAATTTATGAGTATCCCAGACCATGTGGTTTCATTGTCCATTTGACTAAGTGCTTACAGCTGTTTTATGAGAGAATTAAATGTTAGCAGATTGAACATCAATGAGGGCAGGACAGTCCTTTGAAATTAAAATTAGGATTCTAAAGAGTATTTTTATTATGGTTTGGTGAATATATTTTCTTAATAGTAGGAAAACATCTTTGAAATTTTCATGGAAGTCAATGATTCCTACGGGTGACCTTTTAGGAGTGCATATAATACACATATTAGGATTGTGCTGTCATCTTTTTAGGAAGCTAGACATTAGAGAGGCATGAAATTTTCAACTGTAAATTCTAATCAATGGATAAAAAGACAACATCCCTGGTCTGTGTTGCAAATTCTTCCTCCCAGTCTGAATGGCCTCAGCCTATCAGGTAAGTGAATTATAATGCATTTAAGAAGCCGGCAGGGGATTTTACAAAATGGGGCCCGAGGATCCTGCTTATTTTATGAAATTGTAACTGTAAGACGGTAGCTAGAAGTACAAAGGAGCTCGGGGTTTGGGATCAGAGTTCCAAGCCTCAGCTCATCCTGCCTAGCCCTCGAACACAAGCATCAGAAGTGACGGCCAGGTCACAGTAATATTCACAGGGCTCTGAGCCAGGAACTCTAAGGGAGACTGAGGGCAGCGCAGCTAACGAGAAAGCACACTGTGGGACTTTGGGGAAATGCATTCTGACTTCCTTCCAGTTTGCATAAACCTTTTGCCTTTTACAAGAATTACCCAAGGGTATCTTCCCATCTATGTTTGGGTAATGTCTGAAAGCCACTTACAACAAACGAATGTGACCCAGGCCAGGGATGAGTAGATCCCCGATTATCTCCTGTCTTGCAGGGTACTACCCCAGAATGGCAGGACTTTCAAAGCCCCACATGGCCCCAGATGTTACACCAGCCAAATGCATTTAAGTACCTCTCTGCCATCTTGAGCGGGTGACTGGGTTGGATTAGCTGGATACTTGACAACTATTAGAGGGATTTGGCCAGGTTTTATGCATAAGGTTTTCTTTAAACAAGACCCATTTAGACATGAAATACTTCTCAAGAGAAATTTTGTGAACAGGGTTAACGTAGAAACACATCCATGCAAAACAACCCAAATACCCAGGACCAAAGCTAGAAAAAACCCCTCAGCTTAAGACTAAAAGAAGTGATTGTCATGAGCAAGTCAAAAGTCAGTTTAAAACACAAAGGCTACATTTACCCAAGTTGCTAATACCACTTGCTTCACTATAAAGGGACTCGTTTAGCATAGAGAAGTTGAAGAAAAGTCTCCAAGCTGATGTTTCCCTGAGCCTCATTCCTCGTCTGGACCCCCGTCACTCACACACTCACACACAAATTGTGATTCAGCACAATCATTGGGCTGGACAGTTATATTTCTCTCCATTTCTCCTTTAGTTTCTTCCCTCTCTGATCTGCTGTACATATTTTCCCAAACTATTGCCCAAACCGTCAGTGACTCTCTTACCACAGGATTCAATCCCCTCCTCTCAGCCTGGCTTCTGAGGTAATCCACACTTTGTGATTTCCACTCTGGCTGCTAACTCTGTGTCGTACCACAAAATACAGTGGTTTCACAGCACAGACACAGAGACCTAAGGAATTAACAGCAGGAACCAAAGTGCTCTCGTATTGCTGCTACGTATCTGGGTAAGTATTTCTGTGGAGGGTCAGTAAAACTGTCCCAGTGATGACACTTAAATGCCAAATGTGCCTCTCTCCTCTGCGGTAGAGGGGTTGGAATTCATTTTTCAACAAAGATAGTGACATCTGAATCGTTCCAAATTTATTCAAGCCCCGAGATAACTAACATAGAGCTGGTGCGCTATTTTGTTCCTCCTAATAAAGTTATTCATTAGAATTAGTTTGATTAGCTTGGCTTGCCACTCTAATATTTACTAAAGTAGGCCACTTAATCCTTCTTCTTTAGCTGAAATATTTGAAAATTTGTTTTAAAAGAAACTTTAAATAGTTGAGAAACATTTATATATAGTTAATATCCTATTTATAAACATTTTTTTTAGATTTTTAAAAAATGTCTATTTGTTTTTGAGAGAGGGAGAGACAGAGCATGAGTAGGGGAGGAGCAAAAAGAGAGGGAGACACAGAATCTGCAGCAGGTTCTAGGCCGAGCTGTCAGCACGGAGCCTGATGTGGGGCTTGAACCACAAACTGTGAGATCACGACCTGAGCTGAAGTCAGACACTTAGCCGACTGAGCCACCCAGGTGCCCCTTTATAAACTTTCTTACCACTATTTAAGGACATGACTCTAATTCCAGTTACTCATTTTTTTTATAATCAGGCTTCACACTAGTTAGATGACTTTACGGGCAGTGACACTGAAGCCTCTCGCGGCACCCTGTTGGGGCGGCACTGGGGAGGTAGGGGAAGTGGAGGTGAAGGGGAGCAGAGAGGGGGGAGGCCGGAGCGGCCAGGCTGGGCTCTTACCTTCAGCAGCTTCATCAGCCCTTCCAGCTGAACCATCAGCTCGCGCCTGCTCTCCTGCAGCGCCGACATCCTCTGCTCCAGCTCATCTTTCCTTTGCCTGTCCGAGAAGAGAGGCCCGTCAGAAGGGACTTGGAAGAGAAGGGGACCCTCAAAGAAGGGTCTGGGCCTTAGTGAAAAGGGCTTTTGACCCGATTCTGCCATTTACTATGGTATAAGATGCGGAGCAAGTTGCTGAACTTGTGATGCCTTATGTAGAAAGTGGCGATTGTATTTGTTTGGCTCGCCTTACTGTTGTGAGAATAGTATGTAAAAATGCTTTGGAAAAGGCACATTGCCACAGAGAGAAACCAGTATGATTAATATCATTACTAAAGTGATGTAAAAATTCTTCAGGAGGTCAAATTTAGAAAGATCCATTAAACGAGTCCAAATTTAAGTGGATCGTGGAGAAAATGTACGAAGGGTGCTCAGGGAAAACAGGGTTCAGTAGCTGTTGCTTCCAGCACCAGACGCCAGCCTGGAGAGGGAGACTGACATCAGGGTGGCTCTGTGTCTCAGAGAATTCACTTTTCTCCGAGGACAGGTTTCATGTCAGTTCTAGCTCAATAAGTCCCAAACTGCACTTAGGACTGTTGTCCGCAAATGGTTCTCTTTCCTCATTTCTTCCAGTTGTCATGGCTGAAAGCCTCGGTCCTCTTTGGTACTTTCCCGCTTATACCCTATATTCAGTCGTCCGACTCAGCTGATTCTTCCCTAGAAACGTGTTTGTCTTTCTCTCCTGTCTCTCATTTTATCCAAGCACGCCTCACCTCACATGTGCAATGGTCTCTTAGCTTGATTGATCCTGATTTCATCTGTTATGGCAAAGTGGAATAGAAATCAAGAGGCTTGAGGCCCAACATTTACTAAATATTGCAACCTTAGACAAGTCACTTAACCTGTAAGAGCCTCAATTTTCTCTTCATTAAAATGGGACAAGTTACAAACAATGAGGATCAAATAAGATAATGGGTATGAAGATAAAATTAATGGCACCCATTTCCTTTTAGTTTCTCATTGTGGTTGTTAGAAAAGTTTTAATGATACATGTGACCCACTTCCTATTTCTATCAGAGAGTGCTGCTCCAGACCCCGCCTGCATTCCTATCCTTAGTGCCTCACCTTCTATTCCCTTCCACATCTGGATGTCTAGCTGATGGTTCACTCTTCCCTAAACAGATCCTATCATTTTACGAATCCTAGCAATTCTCCAACTTCTTCCAAATATTATTCACTCCTTAGTGTCCAACCCAAACCTCACTCTTCCCAGGAAGCTACTCCTAATTACTTCAGCAGGTATCAGATCCTGCTTAATTAATCACTATAACAACTGGTGCTTCTGTGGCACTTAATTTATTTTACCATTCATTGCTGTCATTCCTACCATAGCACAAAATCCTTGAGGTCAGGGGATGAGTCTTACTCATCTCTGCATGTATTGAGTGATTAAGAGACTTTCACACATCCAGTATGCACCCAATTAACATCTAGTGAAGTTAATACTATCATTGCTTGAAGCCCTCCAAGGATTTCCAATCACCTCTCACTTAAGGCTCTCCAGAATCTAGTCTCAATGACTCAACCAATTTTACCTCCTGTCACTGGCACTCTAAAGAGTAATTCAGTGGATGCCTGAAACAAATTCTTAGTTCTAGCACTCTTTCCTGTCTCTGAGGGAAATGTATCATACTTATTTGGGGGATCATGCCCAACCTCAATCCCCCTTCAAATCTGAAATGTTTTGTCCCAGGCTCCATCCAAATCAACCCTACCTTTCACGGTCTAGCTCAACTTCCACCACTTCCGTGGGACTAATTGCTTCTAGCCTATACATAGAGAGGAGATATATTCATATACAAGCAAGGAAATGGGCTGGGGGGCACTTACACACACGTTGTGGTTTTAAACAATACATGAGTAGGGTGTGGGTTCGTGTGTGTTCATTTTCTCACGATGCTTCGTATCTTACACATTTGTCATATATATTATTGTAATGAATATACCATTAAAAAATAAAAATCAGGGGCACCTGGGTGGCTTAGTCAGTTAAGCGTCCGACTTTTGCTTAGGTCATGATCTCATGGTTCGTGGGTTCGAGCCCCGCGTCGGGCTCTGTGCTGACTGCCAGCTCAGAGCCTGGAGACTGTTTCAGAGTCTGTGACTCCCTCTCTCTCTGACCCTCCCCTCCTCACGCTGTCTCTCTCTCTCCTAGAAATAAATAAATCATTAAAAAAAATACCATTATAAAAAAAATTAAAAAAAAATAAAAATCAGGGGGGAAAAACAACACTGGTGGTCAGAATTCATAACCACTAATCCTAAGAATGAAATTCTCTATCTTGTTTTATTTTACTAGCTGGGTACTGACAGTTCCTGGATTCGCATATATTGATCAAAACCAGAAGGATGTCAGATATGTAGAAATGAATCTTGCCCTTTATGTGACTTTTGATAAACAAAAGTTCTCAATATGAATATAAATGAATTTACCAACTTCTTGCATGGTAAGTGATTCTGAGAAATTATGGTCTATTCCAAATCCTAAAGACATTCTCTCTGACAAGTTGTAAAGTTTTGTCTCCGTGTTTAATCCATCTGGTGGAGTGTTCTGTATATAGTATGAAGTAGGGAGCCAATATGTTTTGTCTGTGTGCATAAGCAATTGATCCTGCATGCTTACTAGTCCCTCTTTCTTTAGTGATAACAGAAGGTTTTGAGATTAAATACTTCCGAATTTTTCAAGATTTAGACCCTCCTCAGAGTTAGGGTAAATTCCTGCTTCTTGCTGCCTACATGACATCCTCCGGACTCAGTCCTCTGCCTACTAGATCTATGACATTTTCCAGACCCTTCCAGCTGAGTTAAGGACTTTTAGCAATCCCACTTCCAGCAACAGTTAAAACTGGAGTACAATCAGTATTGCTTTGCTAGATACAAAACAGTTACTTGTGCCTGAGCTGTGGTGAGGAAAGGAACAGGTGTACCTTACACTGAGAGTTTAGAGCTAACACTACTGAGTCAGTAGCACGTGCTCTCCCAGACTTCCGAGAGAGTAGCACCAACCTGCTAACATCCCAGACATGCAAACAGAGAACCTAGGAATCAAATCCTCAAGCCCAATTAAATTTAGAAACTAAAATGAGTTTTCAGAAGAATGAGAATCTCTGATCTCTAATGATTTTCATCTGCACAGTTTAAATTCTTTACAACTTCCTTATTGATGATATAAGTCTAGAAAGAAAGACAGTTACAGAAAAACAATCATCTCCATTCTCTAGGAGAAGAAATGATGGTTGAGAAGCTACATGACCTAAGCCAAAGGAAGAATCACAAATGGATATTCAGTTATGCAGAATCTCAGATGATAGCACATTAAAAATCAACTGTGCAATGTCAAATGTTAACAACCTACACAGAAAGAACAGACTCTTTGGACATCTAGAGGTCTGGTGAGAAGCCAGCCACTAATTTAGTGTCCAAAATGTCTTCATTTACCAAAGAGTACACACACATCTTTTTAAGATTGATAGGAAATAAGGCCCTAATAACTTTGATCAGACCACTTTCATGTAAAACTCTTCTGGCCGACTTCTCCATTTGCTCCAAAACAGCATCTGAGTGGGGGCTGAAGCTTCCCCCTGCTTGCATTCGGGTCCTGAGCCCTTAGTCTCCCAGTCCTGAGGCAGTTTATATCTATGTTGAAGCGGGAAGGTTCCACAGCCTAGTGCAAGGGATTCCCACATGCTTTTGGGGCGGCTCAGAGGACATGCCTAGATAACAAGCAGCCTTCTCCTTCAGCAGAGTCCTGCTCTGACTGTGAAGCACCAGGAGAATATACTCATAGGACAGAGGAGCATTATTCCTCCGAAGGGTCTTCAAAGTCAGACTAAGTAACAAAACAAGAAGATGAGTCAGGGCACAGTCTTCTTACAGCAATCACAAAAGTGTAACCACTGCTCTGCCTCTCATGGAGCTGGAGACTGGTGCCATGATGGCTGAAGTTCTCAGAATCCAAACACCTGAAGCAGTAACAGAATGAGTGGAATGCTTTAGCTGTTTGCTCTAACAGAAGTAGTTATACTGATAAACAGATTCTACCCTACTAGTTTTGTTTCCTGACGCATAAATTCCTACCACAGATCATCCTATGCGGACAGTGGTGCAGTATCCCCACTTACCTCAGCAGCCGCAGCTCTGCCAGCAACGTGGGGTTCTGCTGGGCCTTCTCGGGGGTGGGCTGGGAAGCCTGCTCATGCTCCAGGCGGAGACGCTGAATCTCCTGAAGGATCTCCCTGGAGAGGGGAGATGAAAGACAGTTGGCTGAACGGCGCTTCACAGCTCTTTCCTGTCAGGACTTTTTACTCTGGTAGAACAGCCCCTACCAATCTTGTTCTGGTTGCTTCCAAATGAACAAGATGTGAAATAGCCACCTTCTTGATACTTCCACGCTTCATATTTCCTAAAGGAAACCATCTTTTGTGGTAGAGAAAGTCAGATAAATACTCTTCTCAAGAATTTGAAAAATCTCCACAAAGGGAAAGCAGCCACTAGAAGCCTTTCTTTCTTTCTAGGGAAAGGAAAAACAAACTCCCTGCAACCTCCCAACGTGAGTCCTATGCTAACTTCCCTCGTCCCCCTTCTTCCTCTTTGACACCCCCCCCGCCCCGAGTGATAGGAGCTGCCATTTCCTCTTCCAAAGCCTGCTACTTTACATCTAATCTCCTTGTCCTGGTTTCTAGTGTTCAGGGCACATGGATGTACGGTCTGGTGTCCGTGCCTTTGTGGGGAGAGAGCAGACAGTCTCATACAGCACGATGGGCCGGGATAAGATGACTAAATAAAGGGGTGCGGTGGAAAAGGGAATCATGAGAGGGAGCTGGTGGGTGGGAGAAGGCACTGGGAAAAAGAATCCACCTGAGGGCACATGAGTAGGGCTTTGGGCTACTGGAATGGACAGCCTGCAGAGAGCAATAGGTTAGAGTAGGGGCATGTCCAGGAGTTGGTCTGGCCTATATTCACGGAGGTGGGATTCTCCTTCACGGTCAAAATAGAGTTAGTCTGCAAGGAAAAGGAGGATCAGATACTCACACGATAGCCTTGGACTTTACAAACTGGCTTGGCCTCTGGGTTCTTACCTGTTTTTGTTTTCCAGTTCTGCAATAAGCTGTCTTTGTTGTTTGTTGGCATCAAAGTTAAAGCTCAGGTCAGTGGGAGGACGAGTCTACAGTGAGAAGAAAGCAAAGTTTTCTTATCTTTTCTTTGTGCGTGTGTGTGTAATTAAAATATATCGTAATCCTTAGACTGCTGATGTTTTAGAACAGATTTTTGGGGCACCTGGGGCTCAGTCAGTTAAGTGTCTGATTTCGGCTCAGGTCATGATCTTACACATTGTGAGTTCGAGCCCCATGTCGGGCTCTGTGTTGACGGCTCAGAGCCTGGAGCCTGCTTCGGATTCTGTGTCTCCCTCTCTCTCTGCCCCTCCCTCACTCATGCTCTGTCTCTGTCTCTCAAAAATAAACATTAAAAAAAAATTAAAAATAAAACAGATATTTGAGGTGTAATTTACATGCCATAAAACCCACCCATTTTAAGTATACCATTCAATGAGTCGTAAATTTAAGCAGTTGCGCAACCAACCACCACAGTCCAGTTTTAGAACATTTTCCATCACCACAAAAAATTCCCTCATGCTGGTTTGTAGTCAATTGCCACTCTCATCCCCAGCCACAGGCAACCACTGATGTGCTGTCTACAGTTTTGCCTTTTCTAGAAACTTCATATATATGGAATTATACAAGATGTAGCTTTAGTTTCTGGCTTCCACTAAACATGTTTCTGAGGTTTGTCCTTGCTGCTCCATGAATCAGGAGTTCCTTCTGTTCTATTGCTGAATAGTATTCCACTGTTGCCAGCTTTGGACTGTTAGAAATGAAGTTGCTAAAAATCATCATTTACAAGTAGTTGTGTTGACATATTTCTAGTTCTCTTGAGTAAATTCCTTTCTTGGGAATGGAATTCCTGAGTTATCTGGCAATTCTGTATTTAGTATTTTGGGGTACTATGAAACTGCTTTCCAAAGTAGCTGTATCATTTTAGAATCCCACCAACAGTGAATGAGGGTTCCGATTTCTCCACATCCTGGTCAACATTGGTCATTGTCTTTTTTTGCTTTAACCCTTCTAGTGCATGTGAAATATTTAATTGTGCTTTTAATTGAGATATAATTTATATACCATGAAATCTACCCTTTTAAAGTGTACAGTTCAGTGGTACAAGCTTGTGAGCTTGTGTACTCACAAGCACAAGCTTGTGAGATTATCACCCCACTAATTCCAGAATATTTCATCACCTCAAAAGAAACCCCATACCATTAACAGTCATTCCCCATTCCCCTTACGCTCACACCCTGAGAACTGCTAATCTACTTTCTATTTCTATGGATTTGCCTACTCTGGATATTTCATATAAATGGAATCATGATCTTTTATGTCTGGCTTCTTCTGTGTTGTAGCACGTAGCAATATTTCATTCCTTTTTGTAGCTTAATAATATTCTGTTATATGGACATACCACATTTTATTTGTCCATTCAACAGTTGATGGCCATTTGGGTTCTTCCCACTTTCTATTTTGAATAATGTTGTTATGAGCATTGCGGACACGTTTTTGTGTACAGACAGGTTTTCATTTATCTTGGGTATATATCTAGGAGTGGATTGTTGGGTTATACAGCAACTGCTTTCCCAACTGGCTGCACCATTTTACATTCTCATTGGCTCTGTTTGAGGGTTCCATTTTTTCCATAGCTTTGTCAACACTTGTTATTGTACCTCTTTTTGATCATAGTCATCCTAGTGGGTATGAAGTGGTATCTCATTGTGAATTCAGGTTGCGTTTTCTCTATGACTAATAGGTTGAACATGCTTTGATGTGCTTACTGGCCATTTGCATATTTTCTCTGGCAAAATCATTTGTGGTTTTGATTTGCATATCCACTGACATTTCTGACCCTTGTTGCCTCCTTTAAGAATATGAAAGCCAATCAACACAAACTAGGAAAATGAATGAATAGATGATGTTTCCCTTTTTTTTGATTAACCAGAACGAAAGCTTACAATGAAGGCTCTGAGATGGCTCTGTTTCACTCGCACATTCTTGGGTCTGTCCAAAACATGACCTACCATGAAGCAGAAACCTTGTTTCCTGTCTAGAGCTTAAAGATGCAATAAATAATTCTTTTCATGTGGCATTTCCTAAATAAACAAGAGCAAAACAGCATAGCAGATATGGGTGAGAGGCTTTTTTATCAAGTTTTTTTTTTCTTAAAAGAAGGAAAAAAAGTGATATTTCTTCTTCTAGAGTGGACCAACAGCCAATTGAACAAATTTGCTATATTCTTTTCAGACTCTTGTGAGAGCCAGAGCTGAGCCTCACAAAAATGGCTTGCCTGACTGAATCTGCTCTGAGTAACAGATTTCCAATTCTTGAAAACTGGAGTTGAAGGGAACGACTCCTTGTTAGTGTGAGATCAGGGAAAATGTGGATGAGGAAACGGGCTCTCAAAGGGAATTGGCTTCTTGATGGCAAACAAACAAAAACCTCCTAGTGTTTCACTGGAGATTTCTAAAGAATCTTTTCAGTTTTGAGTTACTGCAAGGCTGAGGCTTCTTTCAAAGAGGTTAATACAGGAATCGAGAGTTATTATCAGCAATTCCTAACCAGGAGAGAAGTACTGTTACTGAAGTACAAAGAAGAGCGGGTAGAAGACCACATCCCGAGGCAGCGGTCCCAGCCGCGCCTCCTGCACAGGACAACAGGGAGAACCCCCAGTGCTGAGTGCTGACGACAGTTGATTTCCCCCAGTCAAATTCCAAACACAGTCAAGTGCACATTAAGTAACAGAGAACCTTAGGACTGTATTTACTATCTTACACTTCACAGTGCTCCTTTAAAAAAGCAAGCCAGGTCTCTCTTCCTAAAATGACTCTAAGATACTGAAGGGAACAAGACAGGAAGGGACTTATTAGTTCATAAAGACATGAAATACTTTAACCACAAGAGACCTAAAAATGATTTCTTTCAAAAATTAGCTAGTTTATTCATTTAGTCAGCAAATATTTCCTGAGCACCTACTATGTGCTAGATACTGTTCTAGGTACCAGGATGCATTAGTGAATAAAATACAGCCCCACCTCAGGTAGCATACTTTATGCTGGGAGAGAAAGATAAGGAACCAAAGACATAGTATATACCATCAGCAGTGATACATGCAATGAAGAAATACAAGGTAATAAAACAGTGAACTGAGACAGGAGACTTTTTATGAATAAAGTGGTTATGAAAAGGCTCTTTGAGACTCAGTGAAGTGGGGACGCTAACCAGGCGATGATCTGAGGGACGGGTGTGCTAGGTGAAGGCCAAGGCCTGCAGCTGCTTCATGGGGGTGTGTTTGTGTCAGTACTGATGGAGTAGAATGGGCCCTGGTGAAAATGGTGGCTGACTCTAGATGATTCTGGGACCCTGATCAACAAGGGCCTTTTAGCCTTGGAGAGGAGTTTCCATGTCATTCTGAATGTGGTATGAAGCCACTGTAGGATTCTGAACAGGGAAATAGGGAATCAATTCCAAATACTGTAGGCACATACTCCACCTTCAAGGAGGTGGAGCTTAATTAACACTCACTACTTTAGTGTGGGCTGTCTGCAGAGACTTCTTTCCAAAGAAGACAGTGTGCGAAGAGCAGAAGAGTAACTTGATGTTGGAGAAGCCTGACAAACACTACCTCAGCCAGGTGATCAAGGTCATCATTAACAGTGATAGATGATGTTGATACTATGTACCCCAGATACAATGGAAGAAAAATGGCACTTACCTCCTCCTCAAAAACTATAACTTGAGTCTAATCATGAGAAAAACATCCCAATTAAGGGACATTCTACAATACATTTGACTAGTACTCCTCAAAACTTTTAAGGTCATCAAAAACAAGGAACATTAGAGAAACTGTCACAGCCAATGGGAGCCTAACAGACATGACAGTTAAATGCAATGTGCTATCATGGATGGAATCCTGGATAGAAAAGGGACAACAGATATAAACTAACACAATCTGAATAAAATATGGACTTCAGGTAATAACAATGCATCAATATTGGCTCATTAATTGCAATAAGCATGCCATGCTAATGTAAGATGTTAATAAGAGGAGAAACTGAGCATGGGTTATGTAACTCTGTAGTCATTTGGCAATTTCTCTGTAAATCTAAAATTGTTCTATAATAAAAAGTTTATTACTGTAGTGGGATAAGAATGGAAATAGGGAGGCTAGTGAGGAATCCTACATTTTGCTGTTTACTAACTCTGCAGACCTTGACTTATTTTATTTTCCTATACCTTTATTTTCTTAGCTGTTAAATGAGAATATTTATAGAAAGAGATATAAAGAGGATCATCGCCTGTTACATTAGCATTCTCTTAGGTTTAACCACTCTCAGAGAGCTCCATCATCTTTAATGAGCTGGAGATACATCTGAAAAATACTGGATAAAAACAAGACCCCTCTTTGTAAAGCCGGGCACATTTTTAAAAACCAAGGAAAGCCAATGCAGTCAGCAAACTGTAATCTGGTAGCATGCATTTTGGAAGCCTCCTAAAAAAGGGCTGGCGGCTTCCCATCTGTAGGAGCTTGGCAGGATGAGTTCCAGAGAGATGTGCCTGATAATCAGCTACACTTTCTTCGTATTCTAGGGGCACCTTCCCTTCATCCTAATCTCAGGCTAACTGGAAGGCTGTGGATTATTAATCCTCTCAAAAAGCCAATGACTTTTAGGACAGCAGTTCCCTAGCTAGCTATACATTTTTCTTTACAAAAAGTTTTGTTTTTCCTTTCCTTTTTAAATAAAAAAAAATCAATGGACTCTAAACACAGAGATTCTGATACAGTAGGTGGGAAGCAAAGTCAAGGAGCTCTAGGTTTTAAATATTTCACACATGATTATAATATGTATCCATGTTTGACAATCAATTACTATTTTACAGGGGCTTTGAGTCATTAAATGTGTCCAAAACAACACATGGATACTGTTGATCTTTACTTGCAAGAAGCCATAAGGATACTCCTGGAATGGTGCATGCCTGGAGCAGTCGATGGGATGATAAGGCTGTGAAGGCTGGGCTGAGCTATCTGAAAAAAAGCTTCTCGAAAACATGTTGGGTGGGATGACAACGCAATGTTTCCCCTTCCTTTCACATTTCTTCCAAGGTTCCCATGAGGAATTTCACATTTTTCATAAAGAAAAAAACTTAAAAAGCAAAGAAATAAAAAACCCTCCTTTGATTATATCTGATGTTGCTCATGTTTGTGATGAAACTTTAAGAATTTGCTCATTACTATGATTTACCACACACTGAGGTGTGTGTGGTTTTTTTTTTTTTTTTTTTTTTTTTTAAGGAATTTGGGCACTCCAGGAAAACAAGTGAGCTCTCCTGGCTCATCTAAGCAACCTAGAATTTCTTTGTTCAAGGGTCAGCCTGAAGAGGTTTCCAGTGGCCATGCTGTCACCTAAAAATGAAGGGATGGCTCTGATACCAACACATTCCACAGGGTGCGATGCTGGCTGCTAAAGTGATTTAATGGTCGTTTTTTTGTGAAAGAAGGCTTTTGGGGGAAAAAGTCAATACAAAGCCTATCTGGGAGGCTATAAATAAATTCTTTTGAGCACTACACCCACTTTATGCAAAGCACTTGTATCAGTACGAGATTAGCAGATTAGTAGTCTTCTGTTTAACAGAAATCTAGTCAAGAAGAGTCCTTCCTGAGAAGCCCAATATTTTTAAGATAACTACACGCTGGAAAATAAACTGAAGATGAAAGGGACCTTTATCAGTATTTCAACTCAGGACCATTCTAACAATTATCATTTTCACATGAATTAGAGAAGTGGCATCAGAAACTATCAGGTGTAAACTGACTTATCTTGTTTGCAGGAAAGGAGTACGTGACCTCCTTTTCAGGGTCAAATGGCTGTGGAGCTTTTATTTGCAATATTTTAAAAGTACTATGTAAAGTCAACAAGACTACATAATGGCATTAAATATATTTAATTAAAAAAATTCAAAAACAATGCTATCTCAACAAATTTAATTAATTTCTAAAATAACTTAAATGGCTGTGACTGAGGACACATGTAAGGTTTAACTGATTAAATGGAACTTTTCTTTTCCCCAGACTTCCCCCCACCCGCCCGCCCTCCATTCTGTTCCATTTCACTAACCTCTAGAGTTGTAACGTTGAGAGTCAGATATATGACCTAATACTAGATTCTCAAGGAAAAGATGTTGAAGTCTTAACAAATCTAAAGGAATAAATTACTTTTCAGGGGAGAAACAAAGCCAGATTCTCCACTGGAAGATTTCATTACTCTATTTCTCTATGAAGAAGTAAACATAAATTGGAACCCATTAATATACTGTGTCTGTAGAAGATGGTCCTGAGAGATCTGGCCTGCCTGTCCATCTAATTTCACTCCGAGTATTGTTCTCTGGGCTCTAGCCACACAAACATCTTCTCAGTACTGAAACTTCCAACCTCAGGGCCTTTACACAGGATGGGTCCCCCTACCCCCCGACCCGGGCACACACTGCGTGTTCCTTACCTGGTTAATGCTCACACAGTCTGTTGTCTTCACCTCAGATCCTTCTTCCTTTTGTCTTCCTCTTTCTTCCAGATTTAATGCTCTTCCTGAACTACAACCTTCTGTAGCTAAATCTCAGGAGTTGACAGACTAGTACCCCAGTCCCAGCCTGACCACTTACAAACTGTCTTACAAACTGTCACCTTGAGTAGTTTCCTTACCTTTCTGGGGCTTAGTTTTCTCATGAGATTGTTTTGAAGAATAAAAGAGCTAATATATGCAAGGCACTTATAATAATGTCTGGCACATAGTAAACAGTCAATAAATGTTAGCTATCAGTGTTATTCTTTTAGCATGAATCTCACTGGGACCTTTCTCAATCCTTGCCAGAAAAAGTCTTTCCCCTTTTCCTTTGACAGGTTTAGTTACTTTCAGTACATTAATGATATCCAACTGTCTCTTTTCATAAAGAAAATTCTTAAGAGTTTCAACGTAAATATCAGCAGCAGTAGATATAATTGGCTGTGTTATTTATTTTTAAAGAAAGGTTTTTGTTTGTTTATGAAAAAACCTGTTTTTGGCATTGAGAAATCTAATTATCAGTTCTTTGCAGGTATCTATCTTCCCTGGTTGCCTTTTGAGTGTCTTGTCTTTGTATTCCATAGTTTTACTAGGATACCTCTAGGTGTGAAATTATTATTTATCCAGTTTGGAACTCACTGTTATGTTTCAATCTGAGGATTCATGTCATGAATCAATTTTGGAAAATTTTCAGCCATTTATTCCTTAAATATTTTCTCACCTAATAGAAAATAATTTTATTTTCCTTTTTTGAGCGGGGTGGGGGGGATTGGGAGGGATTCCAATATGGTGGCTGTTGGTTCTTTATCTTCTAATTCTGAAAACCTTGTTTCAAATTTTTCATCTTTCTGTGTTGCATCTGAGAAACTTTCTTATATGTTTTCTAGCAGACTAATTCTCTGTGCAGCTGTGTCTGATCTGACCTTTAACCCATTCACTGCGTTTTAAATTTCAACAACTTTGGTTTTTAAAAATGTTTATATTCTATTTGGTTTGTTTTCATCTCTGGTCTTTTTAGACAGTCTTTTCTTTTGGTATGTTTTTCATTCCTTCTTTCAGGCCTCAAGATATTTTAAACATAGTTATTTTATAGCCAATAATTCTAATATCTAATGTCACTGAGGGCCTAACTTTATAGAGATGCTCAGGAGTTCATGTCTAGTTGGATTCTTTCTGTGGGAATACTGCTCGGCCTCGACTGTGAATGTTAACCTTAAGAGAGGCTTTATATTTTGCTTCTCCTCCATGCCAGAGGTTTAATTTCATGTTAAAATTTTACCTGGGTGTTTCTCAAACTATGAAGTAATATAAACGCACCCAACACAAATACAGACAGGACTAAGGTTGTGAATTCCTGGGGGAGACCTCTTCTTCCTCTCCAACAGGAGGAGAGGCTCTTAAGCTTTCTGGTTCTATTTTTGTGCTGGCATATGGATGTCTTCTATATCATACCTTCACTGAGTTATAATGCTTCCAGGAGCCTGGCTTCATGTGAAGCCTCATTTCCAACTCTCCACCTTGCATATGCACAAGGCTTTGCCCACTGCACCTCAAGACAATTAAAACCCTAGCACAGGGCTGCAGTGGCAGCAATAGTAGCCTAAGGGTTGGCTTTGGGTTTCAGTCCTTTATAGCTCCTAGGAAACTGAATTCTCTTCTACTTAGTTTCAGATCCCAACACAAGTAACACTTTCTCACAGAAGTGAGACGTTATAAAGCAGGAACCTGCTATACATGTTCATAGCTCCTTCTATTTTCCCTCCATTGCATCCAATTGTTTGTAGTTATGTTAATAGTGTGATTATTTGTTTAATGTTTGTCTCTCTCACTAGACTGTTAGTTCAGGGAGGGCAGGAAACATTTGTTCACTGTGGCAAAATAAACAATAAATATTTGCCAAATGAATACGATGAATATGTGTGTGGAAGGAAGGGGAAATGGATATTAATATGCACATAACTCTTCAAGGAAAGGAAAGAGTTGAAACGGAAGAATAAGGGGGACATTTTATTATAAATTGATTCAAAATTACAGTAAACACATGGCAAATCCCTGGGTAGCCATTTCTCAATACAAATTCTTGGCTCCTTTTTCTTTTAACTGAGATAAAATGCTCATATCTTAACTATGCCATCCAATCAGTTTTGACAAGTACACACAACTTGTAACCCACACCTCTATTAAAATGCAGAACATTTCCACCAATCTAGAAATTTTCTTTATCTCTCTTCAATATCCCCATTCCCAGAAATAGTCCCTGATGTGATTTCCATCACTATAGATCAATTTTACCTATTCTAGAATTTCACATACATGGAATCAAATAGTACGCAATTTTGGTGTTTGATGTACAAGAATTCTGTTTGTGCTACATCCTTTCCAACATTTGATGTTGTCAATCTTTTTCATTTTAGCCATTTTGGTAGGTCAATGTGGTTTTTGGCATTTTCCAGATGATTAATGATATCAAGCACCTTCTTATGTGCTTATTGCCCATCTGTATATCTTCTGTAAAGTGTCTGGACAGTCTTTAGACCATTTAAGAATTGGGAGTTGTCTAATTACTGAGGTGCAGGAATTCTTAACACGGTTTGCCCTTTATCAGACATGTGTTGCAGATATTTTCTTCCAGGTTGTGGTTTGTCTATTTTTTTGATAGTATCTTTTTTTTTTTTTTTAATTTTTTGATGTCTTATTTATTTCTGGGAGAGAAACAGTGTGAGCAGGGGAGGTTCAGAGAGAGAGAGACACACACAGAATCTGAAGCAGGCTCCAGGCTTCGAGCTGTCAGCACAAAGCCTAACGCGGGGCTTGAACCCACAAACCGTGAGATCATGACCTGAGCTGAAGTCGGACGCTTAACCGACTGAGCTACCCAGGCACCCTGATAGTATCTTTTGATGAGCTAAAGATTTTATTTTCAATAAGGTCCAATTTCCCAGATTTTTTTTTAATGGTTCATGATTCCTCTAAAAATTCTTTGCCTGCTCCAAGGTCATGAAGATATTTCTCTAAGCCTTCTTTTGGTAGCTTATGGTTCTAGCTTTTATGTTAAATTTATGATACATTTCAAATTGGTTTCTATGTATAGTTTGAAGAAGGGATTGCAATGGTTCTTTATTTCATATAGATATATAGCTGTTTCAGAAGCACTTGTTAGAGGGGTGCCTGGGTGGCTTAGTCGGTTAAGCATCGACTTTCACTTAGGTCGTGATCTCGTGGTTTGTGGGTTCGAGCCCCACGTCGGGCTCTGTGCTAACTGCCAGCTCAGAGCCTGGAGCCTGTTTCAGAGTCTGTGACTCCCTCTCTCTCTGACCCTCCCCTGCTCACGCTGTCTCTCTCTCTCTCTCTCTCTTAGAAAAAAAAAAAAAAAAAAAAAAAGAAGCACTTGTTAGAAAGGTTTTCCTTTCCCCAAATTTCTTTCATGCCTTGTCAAAAAAAGTCATTTGACCTTATACACATGAATTTATCTTATGGATGACTCATTTGTCTATCTTTTTGCCAATACCACACTTTCTTAATTACTGTGGCTTTAGAGTAAGTCTTGATGTCAAGGGTTAAGTCCACCAGCTTTGTTCTTTTCAAAGACTTTTGGTTCTTCTAGTCCTCTGGTTTCCAAATATATTTTAAAATCAGTTGGCCAATTTCTATAAAAAGTCTACTGGGGTTTTGAGTGGTACTGAATCTATAGATCAATTTGGAAAAATCTGCCTTTTTTACAATATTAAATCTGAATATTCCATGGCATACCTCTCCCCTTATTTAGGTTTTCTTTAATTTCTTTCATCAATATTTTATTATTTTCAATCTTAACATCTTTCATGAAATTTATCTGTAAGTATTTGATGTTTTTAAATGTTATAGTAAATGGTGTTCTTCCTAGATTTAGTTTTCTAATTATTCCCTGCTAGTAGATAGAAATATCAGTTTTGGTACACTGACTTCGTAGCCTGCAACACTTCTATAAAGTCACGTACCTGTCCTAGTAGTGTTTTTGCAGATTTCTTAGGACTTTCTCCACACAGTCATGCCATTCATAAATAAAAAGAGCTTTACTTCCTTACCAATATTTATGCCCTTTTCTTCCTGTCATGTTATACTGGCTAAGACCTCCAGGATGATTCTGAATACAGGTGGAGAAAGTGGACACCTTTCTCTTGTTCTCAATATTAGGTAGGAGAAATAGTGCAAAATTTAAACTTTCAGTATAATATTAGCTGTAGGTTTTTTTGTAGGTGTTCTTTAGCAGATTTAAGAAATTTCTTCTACTACTAGTATAATGAAAATGGGGCAGTGCATTTTGTCAAATACTTTTTCTGCACCTACTGAAATGATCTTATACTTTTCTTTTTTAAACTGCTAACATGGTAAATTACATTGGCTGATTTTATGCGTTAGTTAAATCTGCACTCCTGGATAAAGTTCACTTGATCATGGTGTATTATCCTTTTTACATATTGCTAGGTTCAATATCGTAATATTTTGTTAAAGATTTTTTTCATGTTCATGAGAGAATTTGGTTTTAGACTTTTTTTTTTAAATGTTTTTATTTATTTCTGAGAGAGAGAGACACACACACACAGCATAAGCAGGGGAGGGTCAGAGAGAGAGGGAGACACAGAATCTGAAGCAGTCTCCAGGGTCCAAGCTAGCTGTCAGCACACAGCCTGACACGGGGCTCGAACCCACGAATGGTGAGATCATGACCTAAGCCGGAGTCGGAAGCTTAACTGACTGAGCCATCCAGGCGCCCCCTCGACGTTTTTTTTCTTGTAATGGCCTTTTTTGTTTTGGTATCAGGTTAGAGTGGCCTGATAAAATGACTTGGAAAGTGTTTCTTCTTCCTCTACTTATTGAATATTTGTGTCAGATTGTTATTATTTCTTTCTTAAATATATGATAGCATTCAATAGTTAAGCCCTCTAAGCTTAGAGTTTTCTTTGTGTGAATTATGAAATCAATTACTTTAACAGATTTAGGACTATTTAGATTTTTTTAATCTATTCTTATGTCAGTTTTGTTAATTTGTCTTTTTTTTAAGATTTTATTTTCAAGTAATTCTATATCTAACATCAGGCTTGTACCTATAACCCTAAGATCAAAAGCTGCATGCTCTACCAACTGAGCCGGCCAGGTATCCCTAATTTGTGTCTTTCCTGGAATTTGTCTATCTCATCTAGGTTGCCAACTTTTTTGGCAAAAAGTTGCTTATAATGTTTCTTTATCATCCTTATGATACCTGTAGGATCTATAACAATGTCCCTTCTTTTGTTTGTGATACTGGTAATTTGTGTTTTCTTTTTCCTTTTCTTTTGATCAGGATTTCTAGAGGGTTATTAATTTGATTTTTTAAAAAAATGTTTTTATTTATTTTTGAGAAAGACAGCCAAAGCACGAGTGAGGGAGGGGCAGAGAGAGAGAGAGAGGGAGACAGAGAACCTGAAACAGGTTCCAGGCTCTGAGCTGTCAGCACAGAGTCCAATGCGAGACTTGAACTCGCAAAGCGTGAGATCATGACCTGAGCTGAAGTCAGACGCTTAACCGACTGAGCCACTGAGGTGCCCCTATTCGATCTTTGTAAAGAGCCCAATTCTAGCTCTTTGATTTTCTTTTCTCTTGATTCATATTTTAAGGAGGATATTATAGATAAAACTAAAGTCCACTGTAATCCCTTCCCTAAACCCACTCCTCTCCTTTTGTTGCTGAGGTACCTACAGCTGTTCTCCTAAGTTTCATGTTTACCATCTCTCTACCGTCTGCATATTAGAATAATGCTAGTTGCTGCTACTCTGCCAGGACCCTCCATTCACTCACCATGTTTCCTGCTTCCGCAGCCAGCCGGGCAGCATAGCGTGCTATAAGCCGGTGTTCCTCATCCAGTCGGCTAGGACTGTCCAGGACACTACCAAGAAGACAAAAATCAATAGGCGTGCATTAAACATCTCCTACGCTTGCCTTTCTTTTAGAAAGAACAGATGGGAGAAAGCCTGTAAAAAAGTATGGTAGCAAAAGAAACAGTAACCTGGGTCATAGATACTAATGGTCTTCTGAGAGGAAGGGGGTTTAGAGAAACGATGGGGCCACACATGCCATTTCTCTTCAGCGGCATGTGATCCTGCTCCTGAAGGGGCACTTCTTTCTGAATTCAAGGTCTGAGAAGAGACAGGGCATCTGCAAAATCTGAGAGAGGGATTTCTAATCAAATGTTTTAGAAAAACTTGTGACTCTTAGACACTGGTCTTAAACTTAAGAAGACCAAACGAAAACTACAGCACCATAAAAACCAGGGCTAAGGAGAAGTACTTAACACTAGCTGAACAGAAGTAAGATGCCTAGGCAAGGGCAGGTCCAACAGATGGTAAAGTTAGAGAAGAATCCATGGTATCAAACATTCCCTTTCAATGCTCCTTTTTCTTCTTTTACCAAGCTTCTTCCACAATTTATAGCCCCATCTTAGAGTGGATTAGTTTAGTTCATTACTCTTTCATAAGAGTGCCGGTATCCTAAAAATTTAAAGACCTACCTAGTTGGGTTATCAGATACTACTGCATCTGGATGAAAGAAGCATTCTTGAGTAGTAGGTTAGCTCTGTGTATATGCGATGCAGTGAACTTTGGACTGGATTATGAAATAATTGACTCCTTTAATTTAGCATGTTACATCAACTGTCATTTATCCATTACATTATCTTGTCATAATTATTGAGTGGAATCTGGGAAGGGTGATGTTAAATCTATAGAGATGTGTCTGACCTTTTTATATATTTTTCCTAGATTTTTCACCTTTCTATATTTCTAATTTCTGTGGCTAATTCTTTAAGCTTAACTTGGTTTCTCTTCTAGGATGGATTTTTTTTTTAACGTCCTTTAAGTCTTCTGCCTGTGCCGCTTCTGAATATCTGATAATTTCAGGTATGAGTGTCAGTCTCCAACATGTTTCATCGTCTGAAAAGATGATCTTGTAATAAGAACATGCTACCATCAGTTTGCTTTAATACATTAGGGTCAAGGCTGAACTGTAATATTAGTGCCTTAAAGGTGTCTGTTGGAAATAAGAGAACTACCTTTATCTTTTAAGTAAACAACAACAAAAATGAACATTTAACAATACAAGTGGGTAATATTATAGAGGGAGTGGCAGCCTAAGAAATGGGACTTAAAGTAGCTCCCCTTTGTTTTAGCAAGGGATATAACAAACACTTCATTTTTTCCCTCTGTGCAAAGAGCTCCCTCTCCTCTTTCATGTTCCACCTCCCTAGAAAGGTTAATTCTGTTTGTCATTTATACACAAGTGTGGACGACACAGTTGCTTTATTTGGCTATGCTTTCCAGTCAGAAACTAGAACTTTATGCTGACCAGAGGCTTTAAGGTCAATGAAAAATTAGAAAGGTTCCTTATTTTTCTGCTTGAGCTAACTTTCATTTTCAGAATTACCCAGGAAATTTCTGACTTCTTTGAGGAAGCGTGAAGCTGGGTTCAAGAAGAGATGCGGTACTCACCCAATCCTCATGTTCTCCCAGGGCTCCCAGCCACCAGTTCTTGCTCAGGAAGCCTAATCCTTAAGGCAGGAGGCTTGAGAACCTAAGCTAACCCCACGATAAATCTCTTTGGGCTGAAGTATCAGGTAGCAGTCTCTGACCAACATTCTGCTCCTATTTTCACCATGGAAAGTTTTAATCACGTGGACAACTGCCCTTACTGATAATAGGGAAGATGTCCTGCCAGGGTTGAGGCAGCTCTATTCCTAGAAATCCAAGGAGCTGGGACAGAGTGCACAGAAACCACCTGTTGGATGAAGAGGCACTCTTCATGATATGATGTATAATTATCAGGCCTTTCCTTCCCTCCCATAGGATAAGCCTATATTAAACAGACTAGGAAAGTAAAGAAGTAGACTTTAGAGGTAAATGCCTAAGCATTATCAATGCTGCTTAGTCACACAGGTAAAATTATGGGAAATGGTATGAAATATAATATAAAAACAGTCCTTTTCAAATATTTTTTTTCACATTAATTATTCTTGTCATCATAGGAAATAAAAATAAGGTCAAATGACCTTCCCACAGAGCCATCACATGTTCTGTGTGAAACTAAGATCAAAATGCAAGGCTCCAGCCTGTCTTATGTGCCTAGTGAATAAATTACGGTTTCCTCTCTAAAAAATAAGAATGTTTGGCATTGTGACTCTTACTTGCTGCTATGTAGAGTGGAGGGATGGCTTTATTTAAACTTTATTATTATTTAAGCTTTCCCTGCCATTCTCCTTGCAGAATGGTGGTGGGTGTGGGCATAGAGGGGACAGGTAGCTTTGTGTCTGCCTGAATGTAATAGCATTTAGATTGGTATTAATTCTTTTAAAAGGTTAACTTTGCTATAGTTAGTGGTTATCAAATGTTTTTCCATCCTAACCCACTGAGGAACCAGGCATATGCTCACATTAACAGTGAGTCACTACCACAGTTTTCTAAAAAGGGGGTACATGGAGTTATTATAATACATATAATATGAGGAGGTATACAGTGTTTGGAAAAGGCCCTGGGGTGACAATGATCCAATATCACTGCTGAAAACCACTGGTTTAAATAATCAATGATAGATTTGGGAGGAAGAGATGAAAATGTAGCATGTAAAGATGTTCTAGGGTGATGGCATCTTAGACTAGACAAAGTGAGATAACAACCTTAAGCTCTGAATGTCAATAGAAAGGTGTCATTATTCAGACAAGAGCGAACAGTAAGAGACTGCATCGAATAGCTCTGTGAATGTACATCTTTGGGCCTGCGTATCTGTCTGAGACTTACACAGCCTCTAAGTGTACTCTGAAGGAGTGAACTCCACTTTATAAGAGCATTTCTGACTATATGTTTAGGTAAGTGCCCGGGCTTGGCAAGGCTCCTTCTCTTTCAGAAGTTAATGCTTGAGCAATTATTTAAGCTCTGCCAAACATAGCTGGTAGCTTCTCAAGAAAAACCCCACATGCTGAGCTTTTTCCAGCTGGCAACCCCAGGTAATGCAGCTCTCCCTCCCTGTGATCAGCCCCTGGCTACCCGCCTGCTGCGGCTGCTCTCCCACTGACCGTGCACAGTGCTGCAGACGGGCCACATAGGAGGCTATCAGCGCATGCTCATCGGCCAAGTGACTGGGTGTGTCCTGGCTATACTGTAACCTAGGAACAATGGAGGCAAAGACAGCAAGCGCGACACAAACACATATAGAGCGAGAAATGAACATGTATTAAAATGGTCAAACTTCAAAGAAAAATAGAAAAAAAATAAGTCATGATAAGGAAAACAATAAAAAACCACAATGCATCATGAAACATGGTGTTAGCCCACAGAGAATACATTTCACAAATCCTCTGAACAAAAGCAGTCCCTTAGGAAACAGCCTTGGTTGACTGACACTTTAGCCTTTGAGCAGCAGAAACCAAGGAGCCTTGCCCACCAGTAGGGGCTTGCCCAGGTTCGGGACTCTGGGATGGATGCACCTTTTTAGGGAATGCCCTCTGGCAGGAGGACACGTGCAGTGGGTCCATTTAACATCACAAGATCCCCTCTAACGCTTTTACAGCTTTTGTCGACACATTAAAAAATTTTCAGTGTCACGTCATACCAGTCAAATGTTTTTATTTTTATAAGGATGCTGCCTTTAGCATCATTCCATTTTCTCCATAAAACTGATACTTAAACCAAACTTGGCATAATTGTTTCTCATTGTAAGAAAACCCTGTGTGCATTCCGAATGATGCTCTTTTACAGACATTCCGAAGGCCCTGCAGCACGTGAGTTTCTAAAAACTTTTTACTCCAGAAATGTTAAAACATGAACAAAATAGAGTAAACTAATGACTACTTTTCTTGTGCCCATCGCCAAACTTCAAAGAAATCAACATTTTGTCAACTTATTGGGTCTATTTCCTCAACTTTTTGCCTTGAAAGGGGGGGGCTGGAGAAAATCCCAGACCATTTATTATTTCATTTTGGAATACTTAATTTATATAACTATAATGCCATTATTGCACCTAAACATATTTAACAAAAAGTTTTAATTCAGCCCATCTGAAAATTTCCTCAAATTTAAAAAATATCCATTTAAAATCAAGATTCCAACAAGATTCACAGACCTTGTATTTGGTTTATATGTTTTTGCTTTTAATCTATAACAGTTCTTGCTTTTCCTTGTTTCTTTCATGGCATTTAATTGTGAAGAAAACAGGTTATCTGGTAGCATATCCTACATTAGGGGTTTAACTGATTGCTTCCTTGTTGCCATTTAATTTGTTTCTCTATTCCCTGTGGCTGGATCTGGGTATTTGATTAATGTTTTTGCTTTTGCTTCGTTTTTGAGAAGAGGCTAGAATCTATCATAGGTAATATGGTGCACTTGTAAATCAAACAGGGGCACTAATGGAATATAAACATTGATCACTGGATTCAGATGTTACTGGTTACATCTCTCTATTATAAAGTTCCCTGTCAATTTTTCACCTACTGGTTTTAGCATTTACTAATGATTCTTCCCTAGATTCATTACTTCTTGTGGGTTGCAAAAGTCCAGTTTCCAATTTCATCATCTTTTCTGCATTTATTAGTTGTCTCTATTTGTTTATCTTGAAGTACCATTCATTCAGGAAAGGTAAAACAAATGGTTGGCATTTCTTATTACTTAACAAATTTCAGAACAATGAGTTAGTGCCTTAGCCACCTCCAATGGTTACCAAAGAGTTTTCTTTTTTGTATCATTATAAGCTCATAGATTTTTATGTATCTGATTGCTTCAATCCATTACAATAATCTTTTTGATGTTCAAATTATCCTATCCTTGGCCAGCGGGAGGCCCCTATAAGGAGGCGCTTGTGTTAATCTAATATATCCATTAGATATTTTTAGCTTCCTTGCCTGGCACAGTATTATGCCCCAGTCTCATCTTGTTTATGTCCTGCCCCACACTTGGAGTCAACTATTCTTTCAAGGATTCCAGATTCCCTTTACTAGGAAAGAGTATTTAGAGACCACGGTTAGGGTACTAGGGTGCTTCTTATTCCTGGAGTATCACTGCTTCTAGACCTTTTCACTCTAGGATAAAGCTAGGATATCTATATATTTTAGAAGAAATAAAAACAGATTCTCTCAGTACTTTCAGATGCCATTCAATTTTCTGCTAGTGTACATTGTTAATGAGAAATCACTTCAAAATCTTGTCTTTATTCCCTTGTATATAACATCTTTTTTCTTCTGCCTGTTTTTAATATTCTTTTTGTTTATCACCGGTTTTCAGCAATTTGATTGTGATGTGCTTTTGGTACGGTTTTCTCTGTTTATCCTGATTACAATTTGTCGAACTTCTTGGACCTACAGGTGTATGGCTTTCATCAAATTTGTAAAAACATATTTGGAAATTTGGAAGAAAATTTTCCTGAAATAATTTTTCTCTCCTCCCTCTTTTAAACTGCTTGACATTGTCACATAGGTCTTGGCAGCTCTGTTAATTTTTCAGCCATTTTTCTGTGTTTCATTTTATTTATTTATTATTTATTTATTTACTGATTTATTTATTTTAGAGAGAGAGAGTGCGCAAGTGAGCGAGGGGGGAGGGAGTGGGAGAGGGAGAGGGAGGGAGGGAGGGAGAGAGAGAGAAGTTGGGCATGAGCTCACCCAATGTGAGGTTTGAACTCATGAACCGTGAGATCATGACCTGAGCTGAAGTCAGATGCTTAACCACCTGAGCCACCCAAATGCCCCTTCTGTTTCATTTTAGATAGTTTGTATTGCTATGTCTTTAAGTTCAGTGGACTTTTTTGTCTGCAATTTCTGATCTACTGTTAAGTCCATCTATGGAATTTTTCATTTCAGGTATTACCCTTTCAATTCTAGAAGTTCTATTTTTTAATTTAAAACATTGTTATTGAAGGAGAATATATATGCAGAAACTTCCAATATGCTTACACTTGGTTCTTTATTTTCATTTTTCTCATTATGTTAATATTTTCCTTTATATTTTTTCTATTTACTGTTGACTGTTTTTTTTTTAATTTTTTAATGTTTTTATTTATTTCTAGGAGAGAGAGAGAGAGATAGTCAGTGTGAGCAGGGGAGGGTCAGAGAGAGAGGGAGTCACAGACTGAAACAGGCTCCAGGCTCTGAGCTGGCTGTCAGCACAGAGCCCGACGCGGGNTAGAGACAGCATGAGCAGGGGAGGGTCAGAGAGAGAGGGAGTCACAGACTGAAACAGGCTCCAGGCTCTGAGCTGGCTGTCAGCACAGAGCCCGACGCGGGGCTCGAACCCACGAACCACGAGATCATGACCTAAGCGAAAGTTGGACACTTAACTGACTAAGCCACCCAGGCGCCCCTACTGTTGACTGTTTTAAAGTCCATGTCTGCTCACTGCATTAGGCCTGTTATTTCTGGCTCTGTTGGTATTGAATAAGTTTCTTCTGGTTACAGGCCGTACCTTCCTGCTGCTTCCTACATCTTTTGTATTTTTACTGGATAATGGAAATTGTGAGTACTATGTTGTTGCATGTCTGAATTTTGTTGTCTTCTTCTAAAGAATCTAGTAGTCAAGTTAATTTATCTGTGGACAAGTTGGTCCTTTTGAGGCCCGTGTTAAAGCTTCATCAGTGCAGATCTAGGGTAAGTTTTATCTAGGGCTATTTCCACCCTGCTTGTAAGGTGTGGACTTTCTGGGGTCTTTATTGAATGCCCCAAGTGTTCCATGATGTCTCTACTCTGGTTGGTTGGAACCCAAACAACAGGCTGAGCTTGAGTAGCTGTTCTACTTTCAAATCCCTGGGAGCTGAGTTGTTCTTTCCCAGGTAGCTGTTCTTTGGTGGCCCTGTGAAATCTCTTTCTATGCACAAGCAGCTTAGTTTTCAGCCAAAGACTTAAGGGACCTGTATGCAGATTTATGGAGCTCTTTCTCTGCATGCTTCCTCCCCTCCGGTATCCTACTTGGCAAATTACAGCCTCCATGAACTCCAATCTCTGGCTCCTTATTCTCAGCAAGTAAGGCTTGCTCTGCTTGTCTCTGGCACTGGACGTTGGTAAATGCCTCCCAGCAGAAAGCCAGGGCAATCATAGGACTCTCCTCATTTATTTCCTTTCCCTTGGAGAACAGTCCTGCCCTACTTACTGTCTAATTTCTGAAAACAGTTGTTATATTCAGAATAGTTTTCTAGAAGGTTATAGTGGTAGCGCTAATCTGATAGCAGTTACTTCATCATGACCAGCATGGAATTCTCTCCCATAGTAACTCATTTTTATCGTACTTTTGTAAAGTATTGGTTTACTTCAAACTAGAAATTAAAACTAAAGTGCTTCTTTAAAGACTGAAAAGTAGCAGTGTTCTATAAGGCCATCATAAGGATTTTAGCTTTTACTCTGATATGAGAAGTTATTGGTGGGTTTTGAGCAGAGGCAGAGTATGACAGAACTTATATTTTAATAAGATCGTTTGCACTATGGAAGATAAGATGTCAGAGGATGGGGGAGCAGCAGGTTCCTGCAACGTTCCAGATGAGAGATAAGAGATGAGGAAAATAGCAGTAGCTGTAGAAGTGGTAAGAAATAGCAAGATCTTGGACAGATTTTGACAGTGTTTTTGGATAAAGCTGATCTAATAATCTGACATTTTTGATGGGAGAAGCATCAAGACTTCTGACTGAGCAACTACAGGAATGAGATTACCATTAACTGAGCCGGTGAAGACCATGAGAGAAGTAGGTTTGGTAGGGAAGGTACAGAACTCAGCTTGGAACATGCTAGATGCAAGTGAAGGTACCAATTAGGAGGAAGATACATGAGGCCAGAGCTCAGCAAAAAGGTCAGGTCCAGAAAAATAAGGTTGGAAGTCCCTAGTATGCAGACAGTATTAAAATTTGTGAGTCTGGATCGGATCACCAACAGTGAGGACAAACAGTAAAGAGAAGTGGTCCCTCTGGCATACTAACATTTAGAGCTCAAAGAGGTATGAATAACTAGCAAAGGGGGCCAAGAGGAAGAGGAGGACACGCAGAAGAGCACAATGGCTGGAGGCAAGTACAGAATGCATTTCAAGTAGAAGGAAGCGATCATCTATGTCAAGTGCCATGGACAGATCAATTAAGTCCTGAGAATTCATCAGTGGATTTAACACTGAGAAGTCACTGATCTCCTTGAAAAAACTA